GTGTGTCCTGCCCTCTTTGGGGAAGAACCAGTCTTTGGATCGGGTCCCCCTACCCTGTAGGGTGACATCAGCTTGTCAGCCCTAACTAGAGCTGTTTCCAAATCAGGTCACGTTTTGAGGTTCTAGATGTATAAATGTTTTCCAAAACACCGTCCAACCTGCTGCTAGCTTTTGTAGCTATTCATTTCCCTCCAGCATATTCGAGGTCATTGTTTGAAATTCAGTGCATTTTTGAAATTAGATATTTAATCACTTAATGCTTGGGTTTTTGTTTTGTTTGTTGGTTATGTTTTTTTTTTTAACCCCCCCAGGCAGGGTTTCTCTGTGTAACAGCCCTGGCTGTCTTGGAACTTGCTTTGTAGACCAGGCTGGCCTCAAACTCACAGAGATCCACCTGCCTCTGCCTCCCGAGTGCTGGGATTAAAGTCGTGCACCACCACACCCGGCCTCAATCACTTAATGCTTATGGGCAAGTTTCCATCATGTTCAACTCTTTGCAAATCTTGATTTTTCCTTTTTTTTTTCTTTTTTCTTTTCTTTTTTTTTCTCTCCATGTAGTGAAAGACTGGCCTGGAGCATGCCTGTGGGGTCCAGGCTGGTTTTGAACTTGTGATCCTCCTGCCTTGCCATTCCAAGTGCTACCCATCACGTAGACTTCAGTTTGTTTTTTGGTTTTTTTTTTTTAACATGTACTTATTTGTTTGAGGGTCAGGGAGCATGGGTGCCATGGCACGTACATTAGAATCTACATTAGAATCATGGCGACTTGCAGGAGCTGGTTCGCTCCTTCCACTGCGTGGGTCCAGGAAGCAAACGCTGGTCTTCAGGCTTGTGTGGCAAGTGTCTTGACTGTCTGAGCCATTTTGCCGTCTCATTCTTAAGGACGGCACGGTGCTCTGCCCTGCGAGTGTCGGCATAAGGGCGGTGTAGCATCTGGGATGGGGAGGTAGCCTGCCAGGCTTGGCCTCCCTTCTGTCCCTTGCTCGCAGTTATGGCCTGAATTGTGCCCTCTACTCACGTCCCACTTCATATGTTGCAGGCTTAACTCACAGTCCTCTGGATTGTGACTCCATCTGGAGACAGGGTAATTAAGTTAAATAAGGTCGTGTGGACGGGCCCTGATCCAAAGTGACAAGTGTTTGGTTGTTTTCAAGTGTCCTGTTTCTGTGCGTGACAACATGTGTGTGGAGGTCAGAGGGCGCCTTTGAGGAAGTGGTTCTCTCCTCCCGTGTTTGCGTGGATTCTGGAAATCAAACTCTGGTTACCAGGCCCTCATGGCAAGTACCCTTGCCTGCTGAGCCATCTTGCTGGCCCCTGATGGGTGTTCTTTATAAGGCATACATGGGGCACAGCCATATGACACACAGAGAGAGGCCCTGGGAGAAATCAGCCTACTGGTAGCCTGACCTCCGATTCTGGCCTCCGGAACTATGAGGGAAAGCTGCCCGTGGTTCTGTTTTGCCAGGCAGAGCTGAGCAACCCTTGCTATCCAGTCAAGCACTAGTCCAAGTCCCCATTTTCCTCCTCTGAGAAACCACAGTCCCCAGGGCGCTGTCATAGTGTCATGGGAGAATGCTCTATCGGATGCCTGGAGTGTGTGGCCACAGACATCTCAGTCATGTTGGTCCTCGCCTGACCATCTGCCGAACACCCGGCCAACAGGTGCTAGGCTCTGTCATGGCCGTTTGCCTTGGGATAGGCTGTGGTCAGCCCCTGGCTAAGGATTCCCAGTCAACTTCTACATGTTCTCTGTCACCCTGCTGCATATCACCACGGAGGGGGCTCTATCGTGGAAGCTCCTGGGACCCAGCCCTCTCATGGCCGTGTGAGGAGGCCTTTGCCAGTAGCAGCGGGAAACTGGCCTCTGGATCCCATGCAGAGCCACGGGGCTGTGAACAAGCAGGAAGAGGAATCTTCCTGGGCCTGCTGCCCACAGCTGCTTCCTAGTCCCTCCAGCACCTAGAGGTGATGACAGCCAGACAGCCAGAAGGCACAGCAAAAGACTTGGGGGCTGGCTGGGCATTTCACACCTGCCCACCACAGGGAATGGCTCTGTGCTCTTGTTGTTAAATAATAATATGTGGCCGGGCCAGCAAGCTGACTCAGCAGGTAAGAGCATTTGCCCACAAACCTGAGTTTGATACTTGGATCCTGTGGTGGAAGAAGAGAACCAGCCCCCAAAAGTTGTCCTCTGACCTGGGTACATGCATCCTCATATTCCTCCTCCCCCAAACCCACAATAATAAAATAAATGCTTTGAAAAGATTTATTTTATTACTTTATTTATAGGAGTATTTTGCCTGCATGTATGTCTAGGTATCTCGTGCATGCCTGGTGTCCTGAGAACTCAGAAGAGGGCATCAGATCACCTGGGGCTGCAGTTACAGGTGGTAACACCGTTGTGAGTTACTGCGTGGGTGCTGGGAATCGAACTGTGGGTCCTCTGCAAGAGCAACAAGTGCTGTTAATTGCTGGGTCAACTCTCCAGGAGCTGAGTGGGCAGAGGAAGGGGAGCCTCTGGGGCTCTGGAGTACTGTCCCCACATGAAGCAGCTTTCCTGATTCAGTCTCTCAACTCCGCACACCCAGGTGCCTCCAACGCAACCCCTTCTCCTCTCTCTGAAGTGTGAGCTTCAGTGTGAGCTTCAGAGTCACAGAAGGCAAACAGGATACTCCCCTCCCACCCACAGAGACTTCATATGAGAGGCCCTACCCCTGCTACTGGTGCTGGCTGGCTTTGCTAGGGACCTGGGGGAAGTGACAGGGTTCAGGACTGCGTGCCCGGAAAGGCCTTCATGGAGCTGGCTTCCTTAGTCACACCCCAAGCATCTGCTTTGGTTTCTGAGACGGGTGGGCACCTGGAAGATCCCCTTGGGGGACCATGTACCTGCAGGGCTGAGGGATGGGCCAGGGCTGATGGGTGTGGATACCTGCTTAGCACATTTGTGGGAAGCCTAGGGGAGAGAATGAGGTTTCTTATCCCCAGTCTCCCCCCAGCCCCCACTGTTGATTTTCTTGATTTCTGGGGTGTTATATTTTCATAAAAAGTGATGTGTCCAAACCTTAGATGGTTATAATCACTTGAAAATTACAAAATCAATACAAAATAAGTAACTACTCCAGAGCTTGAGTAAGAATAGAATGGCCTCAGGGGAATGGCAGACACAGGGTTCAACAGTTTATGGACAGCCCAACGTGCTTGAAGTCAATTCTCCTGGGTGTGGTCTCTCCTGGGTGGTTTGGTTCTCCTGCAGCCCTATTAAGAACATGAAAGTGAAAGACAGAAGGTTCTGGTCCTTTCCTGAGGCATTTCCCACCTTCCAAGCAGATGTCCTGAGGCCTCACTAAGTGTGTGTTAGGAGAAGGCAGGTTTAAAAAAAATGTCAGGATCTTACCACCTACTTGACAACCCTGTCTGATGGTGTTCGGCATTCTGGAACTTTCCATTCAGCCGAGCCTGAGTTAGCGCTGTACAGGAAGGCACCTTGGTGTGCCTTGTGGATCTTTTTAATCTGAAGTCAAGAGACACAGACAGTCAGAGACAGTGGCAGAGAGACAGACAGACTATGTCTTGAGAAGAGGACTCTCTCCCAGCAGGAAAACGCGCCCTTTCTTTCCTTCTCCATGTTGCGGGATGAAGGAAGGTGAGCAGGAGTGAATCTGAGGGCTTCTGTGTGGAGACAGCCTCCACAGAGCACGTGTGTAGTGTGTGTAGTATGGTGCCGCTCTTTCTGGTGCCCAGGACTCAGGCTCCATCAGGGGTCGGCCTCAGCCCCAGTGTGCCCTGGGATCTCTGCTTTCCAGAGACCTCAGCCTGCCTGTCTGTGCAGGGTCTGCCCTGCTGCTGACTTCCATGTTCTCTGCAACTGAGACCTGGTCCTGCGGCCTCTCCTGATGGAGACTATGTGTGCACTCCCTCCCCTGCATGAGATACGCTCCCTTGGTCTCTTGGCGTGGTGATAGGTTTGAGATCTCCAACACCAAACTTACTGGGGCTTAATATCAGGCTTTAAAAAGATTTTTTTTTTGTTTTTGAGACAAGGTCTCATGTAGCTTAGGCTGGAGCCACGCTCATTATGTAGCTGAGGCTGAGCTTGAACGCCTGAGTGCTGAAATTACAGACATGTGCCACCATATGCAGCCAGTGAAGATTCTCGAAGGGCCATTCGAGGAGGGTCTGACTCAGGCTGTGTGCATCTGTTCGTCCATGGAAAACAAAGATGTGTTTGTGCACGTGACTCTCTAGTCAACAGAGTCCACTGAGACTGTCACACGGTGACCAAGAATGCCCAGGACGTCTGCCTTGTCCAGCACAGCCCTACCCTAGTGTTCTTCTTGTTACTATTATCAGTGTGTGTATGTGTGATGTGTGTGTTAGTGTGAGCATGTGCATGCCATGGCATGTGTGTAGAGGTTGGAGCACAACGTCCTGAAGTCAATGTGGGTCTTGGGGATGGAACTCAGTTCGTCAGGCTTGCATGGCAAGTACTTTTACTGCTGAGCCATTTCATGGGTCCTCCACTAGCATGTACTGTGTGTGTGTGTGTGTGTGTGTGTGTGTGTGTGTGTGTGTGTGTGTCTGTGTATGTGTGTCTGTGTATGTGTGTCTGTGTATGTGTGTATGCATATGTGGGGGGGGTCTGTATATGTGTGTGTCTGTGTGTGTGCATGTGCACGTGTGTGTCTGTGTATGTGTGTGTGTCTGTGTATGTATGTCTGTGTATGTGTGTATGTATGTGTGTGTATGTATATGTGTGTGTCTGTGTATGTGTGTGTGTCTGTGTATGTATGTCTGTGTATGTGTGTATGTATGTGTGTGTATGTATATGTGTGTGTCTGTGTATGTCTGTGTATGTGTGTGTGTGTGTGTGTGTGTGTGTGTGTGTGTGTGTGTGCTCATGCAAGTGCACAAGGTGTCACTCTTTGGCCTGTGGTGGGTATCTGACACGGTGACTCACGTCTGATTTGGTGGTAGCTCTCAACCTTTCTCTTTGCTCTTAGATCTTCAATCTCATGAAGTATGACAGCTACAGCCGCTTCTTGAAGTCCGACTTGTTTCTGAGGCATGGGCGAACCGAGGAAGAGGAAGAGGAGGAAGAAGAAGAAGAAGAGGAAGAGGAAGAGATTCCCGACACTCAGACCGCGGCAAAGCGAGCTTCCCGAGTTTACAACACCTGAGCCCCGAGAGCCGAGACTCCCACGGAACGGAGGGATTGACTCTTGGAACTGTGCAGGGTTGTCATTGTCTTGTCGTTTGAATGTTTGAGGACTGAAGTGTGCAAGGCCTTCCGCGGGAGGTGTGTGTCCCCTCACCCCTTGCATGCTTAACATTCCATTAAAAACAACAGCAGCAAGAATAAGAAGCGACTTTGAGGTTTCCATTCACAAAACAGAGAGTCCGCCAACCCCGGACACTCAGCATTTTAATCTCGCTTAAGTTTCCCATGAAGCCACAGGCGAAGCCTTTCGCTTCATCCCGCCTTGCTGGCCTGGGCTGTGTGTGTCCACAGACTCTCTCGGCAAAACGATCTGGGACACACAGGCTGTCGGTCTGACGAGCGCAGGGGTGGTGGGCATCACTTGCCGGGGACTTTGGGGTTAAATAGTCTCGAGAGAAGTTCCGCTGTCCAAAGCAAGTCTCCCACAACTGCTGACGCTTTGGGGAGCTGAATGACAGCATTAGGAAAGGGCCATTATTTCTCACATGGGGGTCTGGTCCCTTAGTCCACGACATTTCCCGCAACACACATTTAAAGTTCATTTCCACAGAAACGCTGTCTCAGCCAAGGGGAAAAACAGGAGCATTGTTCAGGTGTGATGGTTGCTCCCAGGGGACCTCAGTGGGACCTCAGCGCAGGCTATGTGCTGAAGCTGGGGTTGATGGGGCGTTCCCCCTTTCCCGTCGACCACCTAGGGTCAAATCAACCCTGTACCTTCTCCTGCCTTTCTCCATTTGTGAACTCTGGCTTGAAGTTCCAATTAGGGGAAAGAAGTGCTTTCTACAAGGCCAGCCTAGTCTACGTATAAAGCCTGCCGCAGCTGGGTGGAGGGGCTGGGAATGAACAATTACCCTCTTTTACAGTGGAGGCCATTGGGTCCCAGATCAGGCTCAGCTCCCTCCAGCTGGTGTCCACACCTCTTGTAAGGCTCAGCGCTATTGCTAGACTATCCCCAGAATGTTTAATAGCTCTCATTTGTACCCACAAAACAACCAGACTCTGCTGCTTGTGGGCCTCCTGGACTCAGGCTCTATCATTTGCCAAATCCTCTGCCATTGAGGTAACTGTATGACTTGCCACTTAAACTCGGACACTTGAGAGACAAGGTGAGGTTCATTTTAAAATTATAATGGCCAGACACGTTGTAATCCCAGCTCTTGGGAGGCAGAGGTAGGTGGATCTCAGTGAGTTCAAGGCCAGCCTGGTCTACATATAAAGTTAAGGCCAGCCAGAGATACATAGTGAGAACTTGCCTCACAAAACCATCAAGAGCTGGAGAGATGGCTCAGTGGTTAAGAGTCCTCGCTGCTCTCCCAAAGGACCTGGGTTCGGTTCCTAACATCTTCATGGTAGCTCACAGCTATTTGTAACTCCAGTTACAAAGGATCCAATGCCCTCTTCTGGCCTCTGTGAGAACTGCAAGTGTATGGTGCACATATATCCATGCAGGCAAAACACTCATACAGATAGAATACAAATAAATTTTAAATAAAAATAAAAAAGAAATATTTAAAAAATACAAGAAAAAAAATCCCCAAAGAATTGTAGTGTCCTGACATCTCTGACAAACCATTAACCGTGATCCCCTGATGATGATCCTCTGGTGACCTTGCCATTCTGGGCTCCCTAGTCTTCTGGCTGCTTCCTGTCCTTTCCTCTTGGTCTTGGAGGAGGAGTGGCCTTTGGGGAGCTGTTCCCTGCTGAAGAAAGAGCAACCACTGAGTATCTGCCTGCAACTACAAACCCAGGACATTGCACACCCCTCAGGCACATGCCACCTATGCGTGTCTTCTCTCCACCTGTCTCTGGAACCTGGGACTGAACCATGACCCTGAGAATGACCCCAAGGGCCCTGTTACCAGAGCCATAATGTCACTGTGAGCACAGCAGATCAGTACATTTTAAAGAGTAAAAGTTAACAATGTGGGTCCTCTAACTCCACCTTCGCTTGGTTGGCCAGGGGCATGCAAGGGATCAGGGCTATGCAGGGGACCAGAGGTATGCAGGGGATCAGGGCTATGCAGGGGACCAGAGGTATGCAGGGGATCAGGGCTATGCAGGGGACCAGGGGTATGCAGGAGGCCAGAGGTATACAGGGGATCAGGGCTATGCAGGGGACCAGGGGTATGCAGGGGATCAGGGCTATGCAGGGGACCAGGGGTATGCAGGGGATCAGGGCTATGCAGGGGATGCAGAGGGCTGCCTACATCACTGAGGATGCAAGGACCAGGCCAGCACCTTTCAGAAAGCCCACCATGGGCAGAGACCAGAGTAGCTGGAGGCTTCCCTCTGACTTTTCCTCCTACACCACTGGGTTCAGAGACTGTTTTAGAAGACACAACAATAGAATGAAGGAATAACCAAAGAGCCAGTAGGCTGTCCGTATGAAGAAAACTGCCCTCTCTCATTCCCTCTCTCCTTACTTATTGACCACCAGAATCTATACCAAACTTAGGTACATACAGAATCTGGTACCTGAAGAAGCAGTTGCAGTGAGATTGAAATGTAGGGAATCCAGGCAGCCAAAGAAATGCTTCTATCCAGCCCCTCACTTTTACCCTTGTGTCTGTCTGTCCACCCACCAACTGTCTACTCACCCATCTGTCATCATCCATCCACCCACCCTTCATCTATCCATCCAACATCTGTCTACTCACCCACCCACCCACTCACCCACCAACCCACCCACCAACTATCCACCCACCCACCCACTCATACACCCATCACCCACCCACCCACCACCTATCCACCCACCCACCCACTCACACACCCATCACCCACCCACCCACCCACTCACCCACTCACCCACCCACCCACCCATTCACCCACCCACCACCTATCCACCCACCCACTCACACACCCATCACCCATCCACCCACCCACCCACTCACCCACCCATCACCCATCCACCCACCCACCCACCCACCCACTCACACACTCACCCACCCTCCATCTATCCATCCAACATCTGTCTGCTCACCCACCCATCACCCATCCACCCATCATGCATCCATTCATTCATCCGTGGATTAGTATCTAAGTGACTTCTGCAGTGTTCTGTGGATTGTTAGATGCCAGGACTGAAGGGGAACAGATGGACAAACAACTGTGACAATTCACACACCATTGACATCTATATAGATGTAGTTTTATTAGTATTAAGGTCTAGTGAGGCCAACAAGCCAGAAGACAGTTACTATTTTAGGGACTTGGTTGTTCTCAGTTCCGAAGAGGAGGGATGGACAGTCATGCAGGGCCACGTGGGACTGGTTGCACAAAGGTGCTGTCGGGAGACAGAACAAAGAGCGGGCATGGAGCGAGCCTTTGTTGTCATTTCCTGGGTAAGGCTAGCAAGGCCAGGATGTTTGGGATCGGCTAGCATGCACGTTTTTACTAGGCTCCCGGATATGACTGTCCCCAGATATCTTGTACCTGACCGTGGGGCCGTGAGGGTGGGTGGACAGAGCCCAGCATGGGAGAGGCTGATAAAGGTATAGTCTAGTTGGTATGCTCCAACGTGGTTGCTTTGACTATGAAGGATACAACCCAGTTGCTTATGGCTTAGAAATTGGCTAGCCCTGGGAGGAACATCCTCTCCAGTGCCAGCAAGGTCCCAGATGTCACAGCAGCAGAATAAAAAGACATGCTTAGTACAACGGTCTCCAGAGACCTCATCACTCAGCCTGCGGGCCACGGGTGCTTTGTGCTGTCTGCCTGGGCATCTGTTTAAAATCTTGCTACGCCGATGCCTCAGGCAGTGAATGGCATCACCCACAGGCTCTCCAATTCACTGTTGCCCCGTCTCAGGCCACTCACATGCCTCTGTTACCGGCTCATTCTCATGTGCACCACACCTCCATTTCCCACCTGCAGAGAGCACAGCCCAGGGGACCTGCTTCTCTGATTTTATGGTCACTCATTTCTCTTCCCTATCCGCTCCACTGCCCTGCCTGGCTTTCTGCGGTGGTTTCCTCCCTGGGGGTTCTGCACTGTCTGCCTCCTTTTTATTGTTAAAATTATGTTTATTGTGCATCACATGAGGGCATACATATGTAGGTCAGAGAACAATTTTCGAGAGTTGGTTCCCACCACCTGGGTCCCCGGAATTGAGCGCAGGTAGTCAGGCGTGGCAGGGAGGAGGGCCCTATCTGTGGAGCCATCTCACACTCCTGCTGTGCCTTCTCCATGGCAGACTCCTCTCTAAAGGGACCACTGGTGCTCCTTTCTCTTGGCTTCCTACCCAAAGAGATTCAGGGCGAGAACATCAAGTCGAACGGTAAATACAAATGCGTGCTTGTGAGAGGCAGAATCTGAGGGCGAAGCCACGCCTGTCCTCTGACCCAGTTCCCCTTTGTCCCATCCCCTCATTGGACAGAAGCTTTGCAAGGTCAGGCTGGGCTGAACGCTGGCCTTTAAGCAAGCATGCTCATTTCTCACCCAACAGGTATTTAATGAGCACCTACTGCATACATCCTGGGCCAAATAGTGGGTACAATGAAAATGCCATGGGGAAAAGTGCCATATTAATCCTGTTTTCGGGCAGGTGAGGATGGGACTGGCCCCAAAGAGGGACTGACGGACATGACTGGCCGATTGTGCTCAGCCCTGGAGCTCACAGGCTCAGTTGTACTGGGGGTGTTAGTCTGAGATGGGCAGTGGTTGGTGAGCTCTGTTCTTTTGGCAATGAGCTTTCCATTTCAGCCTCAGAGGAGAAGAGTGGGTCCTGAGCTAGGCTTCTTCCTATAGTCGTGCTGACTGGGACGTGGACATGCACTGTGTCATGTGTCATGGAGTTAGAAGCTGATTAATTGATAGCCAGCTCCCAGGCCCCAGCTCTGCCTTGGGGAGGATTCTTTGTTTATAAGCTTTGCAAACTATCACGAGAGTACAGTCCAGATTCACATCCGCTGCTATTTACTTTTATTTTGCCTGTGGATGTCCGTTTGTCTGACTGCTCCAGGGTCTTGTACCATTAGCTTTTGGAGATTCTGTTCTTAACTGTCTTTCTTCACAAGGTTGGCCTGGTACAGGGCAGTGAGTGCTGTAAAGAGGCCAGTGGCCAGCAAGGGCACGAAGAAACTTGAGTGCTGAAAACTCGAGCCCTAACTTTTGAGCAGGCACTGTGACCTCTCAGGATTCCCACCCACA